AGAGAAGGAGATGCCTGCGACCAGAAATAAGCATCTGAACTGGAGTCTGGTGGATCAGGCAGAGGAAAAACAGGGAGAGGTTTTTACCAAAACTGATGGAAAGAGGGAATACACCATGGTGGCAAACACCTGCAGAGCAGTCAGTACTATTCAAAACATCACCAAGACTTTTAAGAAGAACAGAACTAAGAGAGGAATGGATTTGGTGCTATCCAAGTAAATTAAGAACATGGAAAATTTCATCACCCTCACTGCACGGAACAGACAGAGGCAACAGTCATCTCTCAAAGAAATCCGAAAGGAAAACTACTGCAAGTTGCAGATTTTAGGCAAACCTCTTTGATCACCAATCCCTTTCATTTGGTTTAGGCAGTTTTTCATCTGGTTTGAAAACTTCTTAAGTTTAGGCAATATTATTTGGGGAAAAGCTGGAGGGTGCATGTTCACAACACAAACAGAGCCTTGAAAGGAAAAACCCAGTCGTGGCATTAACAACTGACAGGCGAACGAAGCAACGTGACTGCAGTTTCCTTAGCTTCTCTCTGTTTCTAAACTAAAGGACACTCTCTCACTGCCCAGAATGGTTCTCTGTGCACTTGTAATGCTGCATTAATGCATTTACATTACTCATTTATTAAGATGTATGTATGTAAAGAAAGGAGAAAAAAAAGTAAAACATAAAGCCAAGCTACAGATTTCAAAGACTATATTTAAAAATGTAATAAATACGTGTCCTTTTAACTTTTAAAAGTTGCTTGCAAATATAAAGCTACTTAATATATTCTGTCCTTTATATCATGATGCTCGGGGAATTAAAGTTCTCTAGCTAGGTCTGCCAGGTGGGACAATGCAGAAAAATGACTTCACACTTTTCACCCGCCTGTGGAAGACTTTAAAACACAACTAACAACATCCACAAGAAGCAAAGTTTATTAGGATCAGCAGTTACCCAAAAACCRAAACAGGCTAGCCCGACAGCAACAGAAAAACAAGGAGGAAACAAGAAAACTGCAACGGTTGTGTATGAAGAAATAACTGAAGAATCTTTATAACCTACTGCAGAAAATAAATTATACTGCCTGTAAGGGATTTAAACTGAATGGCTTTGCCTGCAGTATACTTAGAGCATGGGATAGATTTGTTGTGCATTAATGTGTCTGATACAGTTCGTAGAGTAAAATTCTGCTCACAGAGTTAGCTTGGTGCATTCCACGAATATACAACTTGGACTGAAACACGTGACGTAACATAGAAACCAGGAAGAACTTGACCTGAACTCAAAGACCAAAAAAAAAAAAAAAAAAATGTTTGTGAAAATCTCCCTCTGCTTAAGTGCTAAATCATGCAGAGAGGCCCTGGGTTTGCCAGGTTCAGAGGCTTTACTGCACGAGTCAGCGAGTCACTGCTAATGTGCACTGCGAAAACAAACCTCAGCACGTAACTCAGAAACCGGCACGTTCATCAAGTTTGTGGTAGTTACTGAAAAATGAAGCCAAGTTGCCAAGTTTTCCTCTTCTGTCAGTCGGCATGGCAGATTTCTTCACTTGCACRCTCTTCCCTTTGCAATAATGTTAATACTGGTACTTCACCATCCAGACACAGCTACCTTTCCTGGCTCTGCTGTCGTCCTGCTTGAGCCTTCCACAGTGCCACTTTGTAAGATCCTCTCTGCTGGTGCCAGTGGCCACTGTTACCTCTAGYAGATGCTACACCAGGCAACAGGAGTGTGAGTTTGACATGAACTAGGATTCATTTCAGTCCATTTCATTACCTTTTTATATGGATTGTGGGGTGGCATCAACCACATCTAACTTGGTCAATCAAGACTCCCATATGCCCAGAACAAGCTGCATGAGAGCTATCTAGTATTTCCTAGTTACGTGGGGCTTCAAAAACACCAGACTCATGGCAGTCATACTGCAAATATAAGTCAGTCCTGTACCCTCTGTATCAGAACTCTTCCTTACGYGGGAAATTGCTGTTTCTTTTCGGCCCTTGCTATTTCTTTCCTTCACACCTTCCTTAAGTTGTCAACTAGAACAAATCCTCGCACAGTTTTCTTTTTAGTACAACAGCAAAGCAGGGGTCTTTGCCCCRAACGCATAGCAAGATGTAGGGTTCAGAGGCTGTGAACCCCACCTGGAGCCCTTTACCTATGTCAGAAGAAGAAAACTTCACTCAGAGCCCTCCTAACAGCTGCYTTGCACTTAGTCTGTGTATCAAGGTGGCTATTGCGTCTTCCTCCCTGATAAGCACAAATCTTTCCTCTTAGCTTAGAGAAAACTGAAATTCCTACCTCCACATCACAAGTGTCTCTTTCAGTGATAGATGCCTAAATTTCTGGCCTTGCTGGGCCAGGAACACAGTGCCCGTTCTCCTTTACAGATCTGCTTGTCCAGTGGGGGGTGACTTGACTCTCAGTTAGCGATTGAAAGTAACAGGTCAGAGAGAACAGATTAAGCAACTGCGGGTTTTGTGCCTACCAGCATAATCTCTGTTTTCCTTGAGGGCTGAGAAAAAAAGCCACAGTAATTCTTCATAATAATAATTCATTACGAAAGATACAACCTGATAGCATCATTAATCTCAGCTTAACGAACCCCTAAATTTYATTTTGCTTAGAAGCAGATGCAGGATAAGGAGTACCACTCTCTCACACGAGCAGAGAGGCACTGCGATCAACAGGGTCTCCATACAGCTCAACATGTCCACATCATCAGAAAATGACTATTTTGCTCCTGCTGCTCCTTGTAATGTTTCCTCTGATAAACTTCAACAGACTTAGAAAAGTATTTTATTTTTTTTCTCCCATTAAGAGAAACAAAACTATTTCTGCACAAGTTCTTTCTGTACTTTTAATTACTCACAAATTAGCCTTTAGATAGCACCTTTCACCTAAAAGTTTTGCAACACTTCTAATTTCAATTAAAATCGAGCACTGCACTTGTTTACTTTTGCTTGCTTTAAAGAGTTCTTCTCCTCCCTTTATTTGGGAAAATACAAAGTWACTGAGAAGCACAGAAACTAAAGGCCAGAGTCTGCTTTGATTTGCCCCAAGATCTGCAACACCGTCATTAAGGTAAAGGGAATTTCACTTACCCAGAACCAGACTACTAAATGGCACAGAGGTGAGACCTCATTAYTCCAAAGGCTTCAAGGACTTTACATGGTAAAAGGAACAAGGGAAAGGAATCTCTCTGCTCTCAGTCACAGGCCTCTTCCTGATCTACTTGCTCGTCGCAAAGATTCAATTCACATTTTTAGCAAGAACAGCAAGCGAGAGGTCAGGCAGACATAAAATATCTATACCATGGTTACATAGCCTATTTGTGACACAGAGCCTCTGATTTCAGAGACTTTGTCACTGGGAWTGTGATAGACGATGGGAAATCTGTAAGGATTTCCCAGTTTCCAGCACAGCACTCTAATCACATATCTACAGAGAGCACCAAACACAAGGACAGCGCGAGTCCAAGGAGTGCGCTCTGGATGCAACCCTGCATCTCAGAGCATCCCGCACCTCTCCAAAGGAGCCTTTCTACACAACAGAGAACAGCAAACTCACTCTGCCAAGGCAGAGCCCTGCTGACCAGCAAGGCTGCACGTGGGGTGCTATCACCGAGCTCCGTAASCCAGGCCAACTCACTCCCCTGTGAATCAGAGACCTGCACGTCCTTCTGAAGGACGTGTGCAGTTAAACTGGGGTGCTTCACATCACTAGACCCTCTATGATCGAAGAATTTAACATCATTTTAACTCTCCCTCTCTATCATTGCCTTTATTCTGTGTTTTCASAGCTCTTCTGTCTTTCAGAATGCATTACAAGCTCTATTAAATACTAATTCTGGGTATTTCCTACATGACTTACACAGGAAGTTATTTTCATCATGCTGTTTCCCCAAAACAGATCATAAATTTCCTGAAACATTTAAATATGCAGTAAACTGTTAATAAAGTACAACAGAATCCTTTATTTCCTTTAAGATTTTATAGAAATGAAGAGGACCAATAACTGAGGATCAAGATCTGAAGGAAAAAAACTCTCAAGTTTTTGTCTGATGTCTCCTGCTCAAGGGCTTGGGTCCAGATCAAGATGCAAAACAATGAAAAACTTTTGATACAGTACAGAGGACCAAGGGATGCTGGGGGAGAAGAGAAAGGTCTTGGAATTTTGCTGTTAGGTTAGTCAAATAACAAAATAAAATTGCTGATCATATTATAAAGTACATGGAAGTTTACCTTAGGGTTGTAGTAAAGTGCTGCCTCTGGGTTCCCCTTTCAGAGATGTACTATGCAAGTACATTTACACTTAGAACTCTGTCATTTTGACAATATTTTAGACTGAATACAATTTAGAAGTCCTTTGGCTACCTTAAATCCTTTATTTTAAAATTTGACATCAATTAATTTTGGATATTGACACACAAGTCATACAAGTTTTGTCAATACTTGTATTGGCATACAAGTAATATATACACATGCTTTTAATGGAAAAGCTGGTTGATCAAATACTGTCTTAAAATTTAAGACATTTAAAATTTCAAAATTAAGCAAATCTTTTTGAGATAAACCAAAGGATAATTAGAAAAGGAAGGCAAGAATTGGCAAAAGACTCATTGAGCGACTCTTGGAAGAATGAATTCTGAACTCAACACCAGCGCTACCAGCAAGACTAAGAGCAGCGCTGAACATTTGAGCCATGGACAAATTTTCTTCAGAGCTGAAGACGATTATTGTCTTCTCCTCTTTACAGCCAGCATCTTTCCTCTCTCATGAGAAAACCCTCAAATGTTTTCTGAACATTATTTCAAACCTAAGTGCTCCCACACTGACCTAAGAGCCCTGCTGACCTAAGTGCTCTCACAAATTCTGCCTGGCTCATGCTGTCGGGCTTGCTCTCTTCTAGTGCTCCCTCCTTCTGCAAATCGTCTACCCCAACTCTGGACTTCCCTCCCGCAACACGACAGTCACCCGGGAACACGCGACCAACACGGCCTTACGCAGCTCTTCCCGGTGCCTCTCCGTCTGTGCGAAAAATTCGCGGAGTTCTTCCGTGATCTCCATGTTACTCAAGTCACACTCTATCACCTCCTCTTCGGACTCGGCATCCTCCTCCGCCGCAGGGTCCCTCACGGCATCGTCCGCGGCCCGTCGCCGCATCCTGCTGGCGCGTGCGGCTCTGCCGCCGGGGCTGCGTGTCCGGGCGCCGCCATCACCGCCTGGGTCACCGCATTCCCAGTCGGAGTAGCGGCTGCTCGGGGGCGCTGGTGGCCACGGGAAGTGGTGCGAGGCCTCCATGGCTCTCCCGTAGGCTGTGTGGTGCTTGTGCATCCAGAGCATGGCTGCATCGTAGTGCCTCCAGTACCTGGCGTATACTCGCTGCAAGTACCACGGCTCAGCCTCTCCCACAGGCATTGCCTCCTGGATAATGAGGGAGGGAAAAAGAAGAGAAAATCAACAGTAATTCAGGGAAGAAATACTGTAAAATCAAGCTCGAAGTTTGCCTTTTGACCATGCCATTCTTCTTTAATAAACAATGTATATCTGAATGAGAGTACATATTAACACTGTGCAAACACATTACATTTTACTACTCTTTGAAGAAACTGTTTTTGCTCATCAGCTACCAATAAAGAACTGCCTGTAAAGCAGCAATACACAGGAGATATTTTCCCAAGTGTTCCTGTTCCTGTAGTGCAAGTGGAAAGTACTCCGCAGTTCCTTTACCGTTCACCATGAGTTGCAAGAACCGGATCACATCTATGTGAATGCATTACAACCTACACCTGCTTCCCAAATCCACAGACAGAAAATGCAAGAGATTAAAATTCCTCCATATTAAACAAAGGCATTAAGGCATTAATTTCATCCCGTAACATACTTCCTCCATCTGCCTGCCAAGATAAGTTTCACAGGAAAGGTCAAACTGCAGCTGAGTCGAGTTCATATATCCATCACGGCTCTGATCAAAAACAAGATTGTATTTAGGCATGTGCTGAGCTGCCTGCAAATCTCCCTTTTGCAACCAGCATATGGAAAGAAGCAATAAAGTCCCAATGATAAAATACTGTACATGGGAAGAGAGGTATCCAGGGATAAAATGAAACACACCATCCCTGTCCTCCAGCTGATCTCACTTYACCTGAAACAGCACAGTTTTACTCTGTTGATATTTCACCAGCAACCAAAAATCCCAGTCCCCTCAGCCTTAGCCCTCCTTCCTAGAGGCCGTTTTCTCTCCTGCCTCCCGGTCTTCTCAAGAAGAGGGAGATGCTGAAGCTCTTAAAGAAAGGCATACAGTAAACAAGGGCCATACACACATGGCAAGTGAAGCCTTTTTCATATCTTAATTCTCAGAGAAAAAAGCTTTTCTCAGGCCAAATGGAGTGCCCGCACTCTGCCCAGGGAGGTTGTGGAGTCTCCTTCTGCGGGGACCTTCCAAACTTGCCTGGATGCCACCCTGCGCCCTGTGCTCTGGGTGATCCTGCTGGAGCAGGGGGGGTTGGACTAGATGATCTCTAGAAGGCCCTTCCAATCTCAACCCTTCCGTGATTCTGTGACAAACTAGAAGAATTTTAATTAAATTTGAATTAAACCATGCTTTGGCACATGCTCAAACTATGTGAAGATCTGCTGAGATGAATCTGACATTTACAGTCCTTTATTATATATTTTTTAAAAACASAAGAGATAAAAAAAACCTTTCTTGAAATATGTTTTCCCAATCTGAACTGGCGCCACTCTGTAGCCTTAAAAGAACGATCTCTTGCAGAATGAAGTATTAAATAAACTTACAAAATACTTTCCATTCAATGCTGGTAATACCACATGAGGTTAATTTCATTTACTTACATTTGTTTTCACTTCCTGGTTCTCAGACAATAACGCAAATGCTGGAGTCTACAATAACAACTGCCCCTTCTTTCTGCAAAATTGAGCCTATTATCTCAGAAGGGGTCTACAAATATTGTTTCTTTTGAAAGTTACTGCTAAGAGATTTTAGGTACAAAAGGTCTCCAGCCAACAAATCTCTTGGAGAAAAAACATTTAGAAAAATACATTGTTCAAGAAAGCCTGATCAAAAATGTCATCCTATCTGGGAAGGATTCTCTAGTTCTGCTATGTGATTAAAACACTCAAATTATCTTTCCTGAAAAGTAACAGTTCATGGAAGCAAGACTTCATAGGGCTGATTCTCCTTACTTTCCCATCATCCTGCTAAAAGAGGACTCATTTCAGAATACTTGTTCCCAAGAGGACTAGTGCGGTAAAATCACCTACCTTCCACAATGAATTTACCCATTCTTCATCACTCAACCTACTAAAACTTAGGATGTACAATGTTTTCCTTATTTATTTTTCTTGCTTTGCTCAAGAATCTCAGGCTGACTCCTTGCCCTTCATCAGTCAGAAGTGAAGGTCCTGTTGTTCAGTCTGACATTCACAGGTCACTTTTGGAACATTTTGCTTATTTTTTTTTCCGCTACTTAAAAATCCAGTTATGGAATACAATAAGGCAGTTCAAGCAGCCTGATCTCATACATTCTATATATTTCAGAAAAGGACAACACATTCTTCTAGAGCTCAAAAGTTATCTTCAGCTCTTTTGAATTGTTTCTAAAAAGGGCCTTGATGACTTTACTGAATGCGCTGGAATCCCGCTGGCTGCAGTGCCCGGCTGACCAGCTCCAGTAGCTAATTTCAGGAAGAGAAGACAAAAAGCCTTTTTACGGAGGCAGAATTGTGATGCTGGTGCCTGTCCAAATATTTTTTGTGGCTCTTTTTTTTTTTTGTTTTTTTTTTTGTTCAAAGTGACCCATGAAAACCTCTTTTATATTTCCAATTTAAAAAATCCATCTGTTCAAAAAGAAAAGTTACAGAAATGTTTCACATTGGGGTGGAAAAAGGAAAGGAATACCTTAAAGCCTAACTTAGTTCTGTGCCTCTGCTTTTTCAGCTGTGAAACAAATGGAAATAAGAGATTTCCTCAAGTGAACAAAAGCTATAAATCTAAAGGCAAATGATCAACGTCCTCATTTTTCCTGTTATGACTCTGGAGTCTTCCCAAGGGGAGACAAATCACACAGTGTTGTAATCTGAGTTCTATTTTGAATGCAGTTTAGCTTCTTTCATACATAATTTGTACATGTCTGTATTGTCAGATCAATAAAAGTGTTTTTATGCACTTCTTACAACTAGGACTAGCTTATCAAACAGGAACATCTAAAAAGATTGCTTACCATCTCTTTCGGAGTTTGTTCCGGTGGCCAAGGAAAGCTAGGAAAGAAAATAGATTTTTTTTTTTTAATTCATAAAAATAAATACAAAGATGGGCACAAATAATGAATATATTTTAATAAACTTGAATACTATGGCCAATAGCTACTAAATATCCTTCTTCGTTGTGGCYAGTTAAAGACTCTTAATTATGGCTTTTGATTAGTTTGGTAATAATCTCAGTCCTTGAAATTCCTCACCACAATATGAAAATTAAAAAAGAGCCTTTTACTACAATGTAGTCTAAAATGCTGAGAGTGAAGAACACACTTTGTTTCATTACCCTTATCTTTCCTACCATTTCCCACTATTTTCTCTTTTTAGCAGCACTTACATAGAGGCATACATAAAAGAAGTTATTTCAGCAAAACGCTTAAATCCATTTTGACAACACAAAAGTAGTAAGGGTTCTGATTAAATCTACTTCTGTTTGCTTACAACTCCCTCTTTTTGCTTTATTTCTCTTTTTCTTCAGACATCTCATCCCAATCCTGCCATCAGGAAGGGAAACTGCAATCCAATTTGGACTGTAATCATATTCTCATACATCATGAAAAAGGGAAAGAAACAGCAGCAACTAGAAAACAGACAAAAAAAACCCCAGAGAGTACAAGACACCTATAATCACCAGGCAAGGCTCCCAATTATAATTATTTTCAGTGTGATTTACCAGCACGAACCTTTTAGAAACGTTCTGAGTAATTTGCTCCCTACCTGACAATATTTTATTATATTAAGACCACATTCATCTCATGTTGTCACTCACAACTTGAACTTGACACCGGTGAAAAATAACAGGAATTCAATGCACTAAATTACCCTAAACTACTAACGCAGTAAACTACTACTAAAACATGGTCAACTGGAATATATCTAACACAGCATTTTCTTTTTTACAACTACTGTGGATTTATTCCAGTGTCACAGGAGAATTACCCTCACTGCATATGAACATAGGACATGGGGACAGGACATTTGGGGACATGGAACTTCTAGAGAGGGTCCAGAGGAGAGCAACAAAGATGATTAAGGGACTGGAGTATCTCTTGGATGAGGAAACACTAAGCAAGCTTGGATGGTTTAGCCTGGAGAAGATTGAGAGGAGATCTGATCAATATCTATAAATATCTGAGGGAAGAATGTAGGGAGGAAGGGGCTAAACTCTTCTTGTTGGTGGCCAGTGACAGGACAAAGCGCAATGGTAACAATTTGAAACACAGGCAGTTCCATCTCCATGTGAGGAAGAGCTTTTTTCCTGTGAGGGTGACAGAGCCCTGACACAGGCTGCCCAGGGAGGTTGTGGAGTCTCCTTCTCYGGAGATCTTCCAAACCCGCCTGGATGCYGCCCYGTGTCCCGTGCTCTCTAGCYGTCCCTGCTGGAGCAAGGAGGTTGGACTAGATSATCTCTAGGGGTTCCTTCCAACCTCAACCATTCTGTGATTCTGTGACATACACCACAGCTGTGTTCTGTCTGATGCATAGTAATTAAATAGCAACTTTTTGCTTCTTAAGCTGTAGTGAATGCAAAGAGAACGGSAATGGGTAACCTTCAAAGCACATGCAAACCATGAAGCTCCTCAATAGACAAACTATCACTCTTTGCATAGCGCACAGCAAGCTCACAGGCACAAACCTGTGGTCACAGCAATCTATCTGCAAGAAGTCCTGCACATGTGAGCCGTCTCATCACAGACAATGGGAACCCTCATGCAGCTGAGGGCTTGCAGAACTGGGCAGTAGGAGCCAACACAGGYGATGTCATTTTGTTCCCCCCTGCCTGCTTACAGGGGAAGGAATAAAACGCAGAGCTAAGGCCACTCATAAAACACTTCAGCGACCTGCAGCTTTAGTAACCCAGAGATGTGTTATAGACTCAGGGGAAATAAGGTGTTTGAAATGAACAGCAAAAGCTCATATTTAGCTCTTCAAAACTTTTGTTTCCATTCTCATGGCTTGCATATGCACTCAGTGTCTATTCCACATACCTGCCTAGGCAGTGTCAGGGTCACTGCAAGAGTCTTTTTCTCATACTTGAAAACCTAGGCTCATGGTAGCAGATTCTTTCATTTCCACTTCATAAAAATTAGATGTATTAGAAGCTCATGATCTTACCTGGCAGAAGTCTTTGAACTAGCTTCAGCACAAACAGAAATYAGAGTCTAATATAAGCACACTGTTTTCACTGTTTCTAAAGCAGCAGATGACAAGATCTGAAACTTCTTTCGTCTACAGCATATGCATATGCTTTCTGAAGGAGAAACAGAGAAAAAGGTTTGGTAAATATCCAACTATATTAGTTTAATAAATATAAAAACCTGCTTCACCAAACTGATTACTTTCAGAAATTAAGTACAAAACATGACAACAAATAAAAGGCATAGCGTAACAGATCTACAAGCTGTGACACTAACTTAAAGAATGAGTTAATTTTTATTTTATGCTGAAATACTCTTCCAAAAGACACTATGCAAGATAGGAAATATGGTAAGAAGCAGAGACCAAATGTGATAAATACACTACTGTAACTTATATTTTTACATAAAATATGGAAGCAACTGAACATATGAAAATACCCAGAATATCTGTAATTCTAAATAAGAAATCTCCTTATCTATGTTAATCAATAATAATAACAATAAGGCTACTTTTAATTTTTTTCTCCTTTTTTCAGCCTAAAATATTTTTCCATTGAAATGAGGAATGGACAYACTGCCTTTCAACAAACTATGACTGTCTCCTTAGGAAGGCAGCACTAAGGAATATCTACTTCAGCGCAACTCCATTCCACTGGACTCAAAAYAAATTGAGACAGCGCCTGTCACACTGCAAGACAGAGCCATGAAAGGCTTTCTTCTTTTCACTGCAGCCACTACAACTCCAGGTGCAGGAGCACAGCCCTCCAGTGGAGTCCGGAGCACAGGGCTGCATTTGAGGTTACTGGCTGAGATCAAASGGACCCACTGGTGACAAGGAGGCTTTGACCTCATGCAGAAGACTGGGAGCACAGCATTAACTAACCCCTTCTATAGTGTTAAGAGAAAAAGACAGGGTGTAATTAAAGGAAGGTCAAATCACAACAAATGCAGCAGAGAACCTCATTAAATTACATATAAAGTGTTTCTGAAGAAGAAAACCATGTTTGCCTCAGAAACGCCCAAAACACTGCCTAAGCTGACATCTTTTGCTTACTGCTGCTGCTTTTGCCTCTGCTCCTTCAGCTTGTGTGACCTGTATTCTTCTGTCAGACCAAAGATGTCCCTATCTTAGTACTCTATTTCTGGAAATGACCAGTAACAGACACTTACTAAAATACAACACACAAAATATATTTATGACATATTTCCTCGGATTCCTACAAGAGGCTGTTTAGATACTTCATCAGGTTCAAACTGCTTTGGGCATTTAAAAGCTAACATCTGACTTATTTTCCATAAATGTGACATTTCTCTGAATCCATGGACACTTGGGGCTTACGCAGCCTCCCATGGCGGCACTGGGAGCTTGGCATGTCACAGTTCACATTTGATATGTTAAGCACCATTTTTGCTGYGCAAGGCAAACTCACTCATCAGTGGCAATATACTGAGTGGACATTTTATATGCAGAAGATAGGGCAGATTTAGAGCAAGAACATATCAGAAACTACAAAAGTATTCTAAAAKATCTCCAGTCATAAAATGGGAAAAGACAAATGTTGTGGTCATCAGGATTCTGTAAGAAGGGACAAATTTATCTCCAGCTGCAAGCACGGAGGGCAATAGCACCTAAGGCAGTGAGAGAAACAGAATATCCATTTTGATTGAAAATTCTCCTACTCAAACCATTACCTCTGGCGGAAGGACACCACAGTAACACTTCAAAGGGGGAACGAAAAAGGAGGAAKKKWTMKKMTCATTACATTATCTTAAGAGCTGAATCTCCAGAAATGTATTTTTAGAGACCTATGTAAAAAAAATAAAATATAAAAGCACTGAAGGACCAACTAGATCCTGTACTGCTGTAGGATACTATTTTTTATTCCACTCGCTCAAATGAGTGAGTGGAATTTTGGATCAGCAGATCACTCAAAGCACAAAACTGGCTGAACCTGAAMAACAGATGCAGAAATTAAAAGCATTCATAAAAGAGCTTTTGCAAAAATAAGGTGACTATTTAGTCCAGCAATTTGTATTTCACACATTAAGTTGATCGGAAAGCTCCCTCCCACACAACCTGTGAACAGAGAAACCATGTGTTTAACAAAATTCTGATTAAAAGCATCACCTATTAAAGGAAGAGACCATCAGTACTGGTACTGATGCCAGCAAGATACAAAAGGACACCCTCCATGCTCTTCATCATGCTTGTTAACTCAGCATCCTCCTCCTAAGGCTTTGCTAGATTTGACTATACCACCCGACTAGTTCAAAAAAACACCATGCCTTTTGTTAGACATTTCCAGTTAACCAACCTTCTCTGTGTGTCAAATATATAAACCAACCATCTCTACATGTCTCTGTGGGTCAAATAAATAAAATATTGAAGCCCTATTACAYGTTCTCAAACATATATGCCAAGAGTTTAGGAATAAATATGTCTCATACAACAATATCATTAGTGGGTGTCTTCCCACAAACGGCTATTTCATTTTACACTTCCAATGCTTACTCTCAGTGTGAGTTTAACACCTGAAGAGGGGGAAACGAACAGTGTGAAGAGTATTTTGATCTACTTTAGATTAAYGCTGTGCACTGCTGGGGTATGATGTTAACTTTAACATCCAAGTGCAGAGGCTGCAGTGGCAGTTTGCAGTACAAATACCTCCCTACTAAATAAAGTACAAATCTCTACATACAGGATTGTCTGTGAACAGAGGATCCTACTGGCACTTAGGATTCAGTTACAGCTKGCTGTCATTCAACCTGGAGACTCGGCTGAGCTATGAAAACCTACTGACCATGATGATGGCTTCACATCAACATCCTCACACTGGCACTGGTTTTTCCTGCAAGTAGAAGGGGAAGAAATTACATACATGACAAAAGTATATTCAAGGAAGGGAAGCTCTCCTAACTCCTAAGCCTGTGA